CTAGCTAAAAGGTCGTTAGAGAACAGCACATTTTAAGGCAGACCTGTTTGCCAGAATTGTATGAACTCTGCCGCAACCGCGAAAGTTGTCAAATATTTATCTGAAGCAGCCCTTCTAAGGGTCCGACCTAAATCTGTTACTTTGCTGCTTAAAACTCATTAACCTGAAACGACGACGGCAAGACAACAGTGGCAGAAGCACGGAAAGATGCAATCGACAAAATTTTCTTGGCGAATATTCTACCTCTCTACGTATATGGTCCTAACGTTGTTTTCGCTGGAGCACCAACGTTTAAAATCGCATCGAAAATTACTTCTCCTGAGTTCAGTAATGATTGAAACGAAAAGAAAAAGAATATTACAAATTTGGAACAAAATCCAATTAAGTTAAACTCAACATGAAACAAATACAAGTTTGTCAAATATTTTTTCCATTAGACTGGCCGCTTTAGCAGTAGAACAGAGTAAAAATATGGAAGCTCCGTCCTTAGAAACGGCGCATCATTACCTAGCCTTCTCACTGTCTGACCCAACAGTATTCTGCTGCGTATGTGAACATAATAACTGAAAACGATTGCATCAAAATACATTCTCAAATGCACCAAGGTTCAAAAGATATAAAACGATACAGTTGTCAGTATAAACTATCAGTGTGTTACTTTTGTAATTAACTTTGTCCGCAATCTTGATTGAGTTTCTGCCTATGCCACTGTTACACTTCATTTCGACTTTGCTACGCGTCCTGAACTTTCTTCTTTAATTCTTTTTTGGAAGATCATTTAGTGTCTCTTAAGCGTTCAGTGCTTTATATTAAATGTCAAAGTCCATGTAAACAATCAACTGACGACCCAGATTGCCTAAAGGATTTCATTCCTAATTTTGCATGTGATTCGGCAGAGACGCTGTCTTGCAACACACATTCACTCTCCATCACCATTCCAGGATATCCAATAATAGATTACCTTGAAGTTATGCGCATCCTGTCTCCCTCAAACAAAACAGCATTTTTGGGAAAAATGGAGTCATCCTTAAACTGTTAGTGCTGTGTAAAACTCACCTTACCGGCATGTTGCCAAATTTGTCTAATCATTGCCTGCGTTCTGAAGCCTTTTTAAATTGTTGAAAGAAGTCCAAAATTACTCATTATTCAAAGATATCCTGCAACCAAATCAGAAGCGTCGCGTACTCTCGATTTGATCTCTGCGTTACATCAAGCACTGGAGGCCATCGTTTGAAAGATACTATTCAGGAAACGTCATGGAGCAAAAGATAGCTTGCAGTTCGCTGCAACTCCGAGCAGTTTTACTAAAGATGTTCTAACCCATTAATTTGTTAGCCTCTGCACTTAACCGTGGCAATACAATTGCATAGGACGTCTTTTTCGACCGCTTTCAGTCTAGTTCCCCAAGGTAGCTTTTTCTGATGTCTGGGAAAGTCGGGCTTAGAGAACTAGCTGCTCCTCTGGCTTGCAGATTATTCTCCTTACCGGCAACAGTCGTCTCAGTTAAAGGACACTGTTCATCGATAACTCGGTCGTTATAAAGGTTCAATGTCATTGCCCCTGCTTTTTAACTTTTACGTGAGCTCATTATGCACCAACAGTCCTGCTTTCTTCATCAGGTATGCCTATAAAACTGCGCTTGTGCTTCATCCAAAATGAGCCCGTCTTGAGTAGATTGAAAAATGCATTAAAGAACACGGATAAATGGATCAGGAACAACGGGTCAACATATAACAGTCAGAAAAGCGCCAAAGTAACCTGCCAGAGAAGAAAAATACTTTCTAATCAACTTTTCCTAATTGGACATTCTGTCAGCTTATAAGACATTCTGTCTTATAAGAGAAAGTAATCCCGGCTTGCAATACCACAGAATACCATCGGATCATACTAAAGTGTAGACTAGATCTGTCTGAACACAAATTCTCAGTGCCAGTGCAGGTTTTTACGACACCACACCCAAAATATGATATATATATCTACACATTTGACAAGGGATTTTAGATAAGGTTTACAGCCATTTCGATTTACATTAGATCATTTTCTCACTCGTGAACAATTTGCCACAGAATGAGAGACCAGAATTGAAGATAGAATTAAATGCGCTTTCGTAATCAGCGTTTATTCTATGATACTGTACTTAGCAATCAACACTGAGACAAATACTGTTAGGTTTTCCTTTTCGCATTTACGTATTTGAAACATTAGGTTCGTATTATGAGCATAAAATTTATTATCAGTATGACTAGTTTGTCTTAAAAATCTCTTTTCACCAATTAAGCTTATTCATCTTGTATGTTTTGTTTGCATTGTGCGATTTCGGGTAATCAAAATAAATCAATTTTTTTCTTTTCTATTATTGATTTACTTTTTCGCGGCAAAAGTGTATTTCTGTATAAAAATCGGTTAGAGCATGCGCATTTGATATGGTGCAAGTCGTGAAATAACTTCTTTTGCAAAGTTTTATGGATTAGAAATAGGAAATATTGGTGTAAGCATGTTTGTAATATTTCAGTACGTTTTTTTGAGACTCGCAGTCAGTGCATTATTTATCTGGATATGCGCTTCAAGTTTGATACTCTGTTAACGTTGAGTGCATTACTTTACACTGGCTCGATGACGTTTCATGCGCGGTTTTCAATGCAGTGACTTTTATCCAGACTTATTTGCATAAAAACACGAAGGCATGTCTCGTTTTTGCCCTTATTTTCGAAATTTTAATAGTCATTGGATCAATTATTGTTAATCATTTTCTTTAAATGCATGCTTATATCTCAACTCAGTGCGGTGTAGCATTTTCGATTTATTGCGAATGTAAATGACAGCTGTATAATTTACACGTTTGTGACGATGGCGACCTGCAGATGAAGACAACCAGCGGGCATAGATTGCATCGGCATCACTCATGGCTGAAATGAGAATGCGGATAGTGCACACAGTCTATGATCAAGATCTTAGTATGTAAAAATGAATTTTTGAAAGTGTATTTCATTGATCTTTGATGAAATTCAAAACCCTTTTTGTTTCGTTCTTTATTGTCTAAATTTTTTTGATATGATTCGCATTGCACCCATATTGTAATGGTTTGAGGGTTCGTTCCAGGTGTTCAGTGTTACATATATGATGTACAAATATTTAAGTGGGTGTTCCATTTCTCGCGCCATTGCGTATTTTTTGTGTTGTGCTAATGGAAGTTCTGTTTATAGACATACCGAGAACGCATAAGGGAGAAACACAGTGAATACTCCGAAACCGTTTGTTGTGTGTGCTTTGCGTGTGAAAAGCGTGAGTAGTGGTGTTTTGCGTGATCGCGTGTTATAAGTTTGTTTGGCTGATCTGAAAATGGGGACATTGATAACGGAGCAGGCATCGAAGCTTCTGGACTTCAGTCAAGAACAACTCGACGTTCCGCTGCTGGACAGCGTCGTGTCCACCATGTATCATGGGAGTGGACAACAGGTGAGTCTCTGTTAGACGTAGCTATTGCAGCCGTGTCTGGTTCTCATTTGAAAGGAAAATTGTTTCAGCAAAGAACTGCCGAAGAGATTCTAAATCAGTTGAAAGAGCATCCTGATTCATGGACTCGCGTAGACGCCATTCTTCAATATTCAAACAACAGTCAGACAAAATACTATGCCCTTCAGATTCTGGAAACGCTGATTAAGACTCGTTGGAAGACGCTGACGCGAGACCAATGCGAAGGTAAGCACTACTCTCCGTTTTTCGTTATCGATTCTTGAAGCTTTAAGGTAAGGATGCATCAGTCGCGTTGGAGCGTTCCTTGCTAGAACTGAAAGCAAGTGGAAGTTGTACATATAATCAGTTTATGCTCACTTGTTGATCCTCGCTATGGAACTGCTTTCTTTGATTCACTGATAAATGAGATTCGCTTGTCCGTATGAGCGAAAGGTGCAAAACCTCA